TTAATTGACCAGCTGCTCTTCACATGGACCTGTAAAACATACTAAGTAGTGTTCATTCTCCTTTGCTATTACACTTTCCTGCCACAAAATCTGCACACACACCTATTTTTGTTTCTCTAAAATTGTGCATCAATGTGTTGCTTCAAACCTTGTACCTGGTGATTGATTTTGCTGACATGTGGCCTTGCCCTCCATGATGCCTGTATCCTATATATCTACAGCTTAATTAATTGTTTTGAGTCTGCTCCCGCAACAATTCTCTTGAATCACATGTTTTCTGCAATCATGAGTCCTGCAGCTATAGCTTCAGTTTCTATTTCAGTTATGGCATTGCCCTTGGATCCACTGTTGTATGTACATATGCTAATAACATCGCGATTCCTGCATGCCTGTATGTTCTTCTATATATCATCATTTTGAGCTTGTGTGGCCTTTATCATTCTTGCTCGCTATCGAGATAGAATGTGGATTGAGTATGCCAGTGGGGCTGAACAGGCTGGCTAAATAGAGCTATGTCGGATTTGGAACTGATCGATCTAAGTGGTTAGCATGCTCCATGCGCGCACCTAGCTAAGCTAATTGAGTTTCCTGATTTTCACAATGTGAAAAGGCTCTTTTATTGATCATCTCGTCTTCTGATATATAAATTAATTTGTAGATTTTGATGGAAAATGTCTTTTAATTAAGCTTAAACACTACTTCAACGAAGTTGTTGAAATCAACCTATAATAATCCCATATGCTTGGGATCCACAACACATCAGAATTCAAAAGTTCAGAGAATCTATTGCTTCCATCATTCACCATCCCATAAATCTTCGTTGTGCTTCTTTAAGCAAGAATACTCTGCTGAGCTCCATTACTATATATATATGTTTTATTAAGCCCAAGATAGGGAAAATATTATAACAACTTAGTTGCAGAAGCATCTACAAGTCTACAATGAACAGACAATGCTGCATAAGCAACCAAATATATATTAACTATATGGATCTAGCTAGGCGAAGAGTACATCACGAGCAGTGCTTTTCATTTTCTTCTGTTGAGATCTCAAGACTTTGAAAATCAAATCAGTCGATTACTCATCATCCGCATCAATCCAAACATCATTATTTAGGAAATATAAAGTGATATCATCAACGGTAAAGTGACGCTAGCTCAAGCTTAACTTGCATTGTCATCCTACCTTTCCAAGCATCAATGGTGATATTGCTGATGTCTTTACTGATGCTAGCCAACTGGGGTATGACCTATATAACCATTTGTCCATATCAGTTTTTTCTTCTTGCATGGATGTTATCGATCAATGTCATCAAAGCAATTATGCGTGTAATATCTCCTTGCGAAGTGTGTTTGTAAGACCATAAAATTTTGATTACCACTTTCAATAGGCATGCTTGGGGAGTTCAATAAATAATGAAAGAGTAAGTACACATGGAAATATGACAGGCAGCAGGCTGAGCTATAATCTGAAATAACTGGAACATCATCTTATCATTTATAGCTTATATATTTTCTCCACTGTTATTCATGCAGAATAAGTAGATAAAAGAGGGAAAGAAAGGTCTTATCTTTTACATTGACAGTCTGAGCTCATTTGAAAGCTAATAAGGACCACCTTGTAGTTTATCTTCTCCATTGTTT